AGTGATCAGGTGCCCAGGCAATTGGTTCTTTTAGTTCTTTTAGATCCAGAGACAATGAACATACCAGCAGGTGAGATTTGAAGCTTTATTGTTAACTCTAGCAGACAGATTTGCAAAAGCATAGTATAAAAGCATGACATACCAAGCAAGATGATAAAACCTATTCTCCCACTGTCAGGAACTACCATAAGGTGACAGCGGAAAGACCCCAAGATGGCTTAGATAACACAGCTCCTGGTACCAAGGCCTGTGTCCACACTCCAAGCTCCAGAGGCAATACCAGGGTCTTTTATCCCTATCTTGCAGTGAAACCTCATGACCCTGTTTCCATGGTACCAAAAAGACTTGACCTTGACTAGATGTTGCACCTGCTCATTGTGTGAATCAAGATCCTGGGAACCTGACTGCTTGAGGTCCTCCCCTACTCCCCCACTCCCAAGCAAGAGTGAAAAACAAGCTAGCTAAATATTATTATGACTCAGAGTGAACTTTCTTAACATGTGCAGGAGAAATCAAAATATGTCACCTAAACTCCTTGAAATAACAATGGTTTTCTGCATTGTCACTACATCCAGATGTGGCTTAAGTTGGCCTGTTTGTTTTGCTTCTTATTCTCAAATGGCAGTGTATAGGTTGTTCCATCATCCTACTCCAAAAAGCACAGGACAATGATGAATTAAATACGAGACACTTCACAAGCAAGCAACAAACAAAAGGAAGGAACTCTCTTAAGTTATGGGAACAGGGTAAAGTGGAAAAGGCCCTCTGCACTGGCTTTGGGGACTGCACATTATGCCCTCTTAGGATGGGAACCAAGGGAAAAAGAAGTCATCCTTCACACCAAATCTATACCCGCACTTGTTTGTGAATAAATCTGCACACCATCTAAACCATGATGCTCTGTTCTAAAATTCAGGGGCCCAACCTCAAAAGAAATCCACTGTTTGGAGACCATCACATCAGGGAAAAAATAGCTCATAATTAGCTATTCTGAAATGCATCCTGACCATGCTTATGGCATTCTTATAATACTTTGCTACAGTGTTGGTAAATATACTTTGTTCCATCCATATCTTTATACGATATTGTACACATTGTTTGAAACACTGTTATTATTAAAAATAAGAATAATTATTAAGCCATTCTTGAATGTAATTGACCCCCAGTGATCTTTTGGATATGGTGGAAAAAAAGTAATATTACAATGTGGGATTTTCCTTTTCCTGGAAGCATAGGTACTCCTTGCATCAAGCAAGAATTGGGGCAGAACTGGAACAACTATCAACAATTTATGTTAGAAATGCGGCGAGCTAATGAAACACAACTTAAAGAAATTAAGAAATTGCATTTGGGATCTTCTGTTTTTCAGGCAGGTTAGTTGAATTAAGTAAAATACAGAGTTGCTAAGATCTCAATACTTATGGAAATATCATCCACCCCTTTCTCAAAGAAACACAGAAACAACCCTAAAAACATGATAACCGAAAACCTTTGCTCCATATTTGCTCTTTTAATAGATTTTGTCACCACCACTGATGCAAGTACTTACCAAAGAGATTATAAAAATTGGCCCAGGGTCCGTAGCGGCTTGTATCGAGCAAATCGGAATTTCTCCAACTTTGTTTTCCATGACGGCTACTACGATGAGTGAGCATTATTGCATGGATTTTGATGGTAGGAAGAGTCTAAAGGTAAAAGGGCGATGCCACGGATTGGTGAAGTTTAAAATCCTGGCCAAAGGATTTGTCTAATTCAAGGAATCTTCAGCCACATTTATGATGTGAATCTTCTAAACAATGAGCAAAATTATCACTATTGACCACGTACAGAGGTCACACCAAGCCCCATGAATGTTCTGGATGTATAATACCAAAAACCCTTTGTTTCTTTTCATGTACTAGATTCCTCTCTTTTTGTGATAGCATCCCTGAGAGACAGCAGAGCAACAATATCTTAAAATAGCTGAAATAAGATAATTGAGCCATTGTTAAAACTACTCCTCGTCACCAAAAGACAGCACAAAGGATGCAAATCAGTTCTGGCAATCTTTATGAATCGGGTCTTTGGCAGGTTTTCGGGGGAGGGAATTCACCACCACTGAAAAGAAGTACTAACAGTTCTTTGATGTGCCTATATAACTAGAAAAACAAGACAGTATCCGAAAAGTTGTTCTTTAATAATTCCAGCTTGTCATTACCCATCCATCCTCTTCCTTGCAGGAACCCTTGGATGTCAGAATACATGGATAACTACAACATCTTCTTGAGGAAGCTAAACTGGAAAACTCAGAATCCTGTGTCAGCTTTCTGCTCCGCAGTCAGACCCATCTCCCGTCTTTCCCCTGAAATATCCACACAGACTCCAATAGCAGTGAATTCTGTACTTTAGAAAGGTGCTTAGGGTTTATCCGGCAGCTGCAATAATTATGGTATGAATTAAATTTGACCATACAGCATTTGAGCATGTAAAATAATTCATCAATTCTTTCTTCAATTTAATTATGACTCATACTCATAATGAAAGAGACTGTTTTGGAGCTGTTACATCCTGGGCTGTGGAATCCATAAGTAAATTACATAATGAAAAACTTTTCTTTCCTATGTAGAACACGGCTTTTATTCTTTTCATGCAAACTATTATTTCAGAATCTGAATGTACTGAAATACCTCTTACATATTTCTTTTTGATTGCAGTTCCACAAGTAACATAGAACACCTGCTACAGAAATTTTGGCATGGGATCAGGGCAACTTGAAGAACATTTGTAAACCAAAAACAACTGTTTATATTTCAGTTATTTATACATTTATATACTTGTTATAGCTTGTTTTTGATAATATATGTACTTACCAAAACAAAACCAGGGCACTGATTTGAACTGTATATGGAAATTGACGGTGCTACTGTGCAGTAGACTTTTAGAATCAATAATCTACAGATAATTTTTCAGGTTACGCCTTTTAAATAAACAGTAGACAAAACACAAATAAGCTGTGTTGTGCTTATTTAGCATAAGAGTGCTGATCCCTCATGGCTAGTTTTGTTGTTTTGTTTTGTTTGTGTAATCATGACGTTGTTACAAACAAGAACACAATTGGCTAGATCTTCTGAAATCTCTACTCTCCTACCCTTACACCTGAGTTGCAGGATGTCTGAATACAGCTGTTCCCCCAGATGAAAGAGCTCCAGGAAGCTAAGCTGGCACCACCTATTCTTTAATAGGGAGATTCCTTTGGAATCTGGATGGGGAAGAATAGTTTTCCCCTTCTATTAAACATAGCAGCGTTTCTCAATCTTAGCAACTTTGAGATATGTGGACTTTAACTCCCAGAATTCCCCAGCCAGCTCGAGTTTTTTCTTCTATTCATAGTTTCCAGACTCAAACAGCTTTTGGCTGTGTGGTGTTAGGAAAAATCCAGTGCTAGGATAACAAAGGATACTCTTTATTTTAAAATGTGCAGAAAAGAAAGGACGTTGGGAATAAGGCAGCTGCAGCAAGTCATGGGGGGCTTAGATCTATGTGCCAAAGTTAGCATTCATTAATCAGCAGAGACAGAGGCAGAAACTACATTACTAAGCAAAACAATCCTGAAAATAAATGACACACCCCTGATGTTTCTGCCTATGCTCTTTCCCTGTCAACCTTACCTTGCTGGTCCAGTTTTCCCATAGCAAAGGGTCATCTTTAACTGCTCAATATTCCCAGTGATTAAAATAAATGTTTCTCAGCATGTTGCCATTATCAATAAAGACTGCTGGGTTGAGAGTGTTAATCCCCCTAGGGCCTATGGGGTTATGTTGGGAGAAATTGAAAAGCTGTATGTTCAGTGTTTGTAATAATGAAAACAGTTTTCAAACATTCCTGAAGGCTACTTTTTAAGATCAAGAATACCACAGAGTAAATAGGACCACACAGTATTTCTTATAAACCTTTTCCCTTTTAAGTCCAGAAGGCAGGGAGGGCAATAGCAATAGAAAAGATACAGGCACTTGGGATGAACTAATTACAGGTTCTCCTGTAAGTTTTTGGTTTTCATCTTCAGGCCACGAAAACTGAAAATCCCCCAGAACTGAGTAAAATTATGTATTGGTCACTTCATTTGGAGTTGTAAAAATGTAAGGATTAACAGCATTTTTGGTCTCCAACTGTCCTGCAAATAAGTTGCTGCAGGATGTTGAAGATGGTTAGACATGGATAGATGACAATAATCTTCCACCGTCTGAAAAGAAATCTCATTTTGAGATTGTAAGTGGGAAAGTAAGGCCTCCTTTTCTTCAAGCCATGTAGTAGATTTGATAATGCAATCTAAAACATGATTGGCCAATTTCACATTAATTTGATATCACAAAAAAACAGCAACCAATATAACTGTACAAAAGAGATGTTTGTATGCTCAGATTTTTGGATCTCCAGCAGCATCTAGTGGTCATAGATGCTGTGGAACTCCAACTGGCATTCTCAAGCTAGTGCCATGAGCAGACTAAGAGAAAGCACATTGCAGTAATTTACAAGTAAATAGATAAATACAATATGTTCTAGCAAACGTTTTTCCTTAACCTAGAAATAGCAAATATTTGGAGCCGAGATCCCCATGCCCATTTTCAGTGAAAAACACCCACATATATACATCCCAAGTTATTAGTTCCAGAGATAAAAATATACAGGTACTTGTAGTTATATATTTTCCTCTCTGTAGTTAGTATCAGCAATGTTACACAAGAGAGTTAAATTAAGGAAGTTATCCCAAGGAAGAGGCTCCAAAACAATTTCTGCAGTCTGGAAGAATGGTCATTAAAATGGGAAATGTGGTTCAGTGTAAACAAAGTTAAAATGAAGCACCTTGGGACAGGAAAAAAACCCACATATACATCACATATACATAAATGAGGTCTCAGCTAACAGAGACTAAATAGGAATATTCTGGGATTGGATAAAAGGATCAAGGAAACAACTTGTTGAGGAACTACTCTGAAAAGCACAAATTGCATATTGAAAATCATTATGAAATTGATGAATAACAAAATCATAATTTTTATTTAAACCTGTGTTTCAAATACATTTGCAAGATCATTGGTATACAATTCTGGTCTTTGTACCTTATACAAAGGTATTATAAAGTGGGAAGATGCCAAAAATGTCAAAGATTTGGAACTTCTTGCTTGGAAAAAAATAAATAAAAGGAATGTACACAATTATGCAAAGTGTGGGGAAAGTGAGGTGTTTTTTTTTAACCTTCTAATACTCAGACCTCAGGTCATCCAATGAAACAAGATGGAAATTGATTTAGGAGATGAAAACTTGACTCAGCATAAAGCAACACTATGCAAATATAGAGCAGTTACAAGATGTAGTTTTGCCCAGTAATTTGAATGAATTTCAGGAGAGTAAGATTATCAATGGCTTAGAGCAGGGGTCCTCAAACTTTTTAAACAGGGGGCCAGTTCATGGTCCCTCAGAATGTTGGGGGGTTGGACTATAGTTTGAAAAAAACATGAGAGGAGGAGAGCCGCCGGACCCAGCATACCTGCCATGTAGAATAGTCCGGGTCTGCGATCTCCCTCCTCGTGCATCACCTGCAGCTCCCGACACAGCCTCAACACTTCTGCTTCTGGCAGACAGCAGCGGCGGCCAATCAGGCAGGCGGGCCGGATAAATGACCCTGGCGGGCCATATCCGGCCCGTGGGCCGTAGTTTGAGAACCCCTGGCTTAGGGGCATGATGGCTGTATTTTATCTAACGCCAGGGACAATATGCTTCTAAATATCAAATGTCTGGAAACAATATATGTGTATGCACTGATAGATGGTGATGAGACGTACTAATGTACTATTAGCATCTGATAGGCCAGTGAACATTTGTAGTGAATCTCTATGATCCTTTACACCAGACAAAATTGTTTTGTGCTAGAGCCCCCTTACATAAATGCTCCCATATCCCACTGAATTACTTGGCAGTAGACTCTATGCACTCCCAGTCACTGCCAGAGACCTCAATCTTGCCATTTTTATTTTTCAGAGCACAGAGAAACATCCCTCAAAACAGGGACCAAAAGTATGTTTTGGCAAAAGAGCCACCTTTGGTATAGAGGCTGCAGCAGCTGTCTCCAGATGCTGAAGTTAGATGTGTATTCTAGTTGGCTCGTTTTGTGGCAGGGGCCTAACTTTCACACAGCATCCATATATTGGTTAGCCCCTCTTTATTCTTATCTTCAGTAGGAGATGAGGGTTTTAACTGAAATTTATCATTAATGGAATAACCTCAGTTGTTTCTTTCTAGACATATCATCTCCTCAAATTTTGTGACTTTCAGTACACCCACTTAACTTTTTCTGAGCTTTTTTTTATACCTTAGTTTTGCACTATTATCAGTTCTGAGAATATAAGAACTTGTAAAAGTGAAGACAAAGCTGTTTATAGGCAGGTATAATAGAATCTAACTTTTCCATGTTTACTTAGATGGATGTTCAAAAGGGCCTTCTCCTGTTTGACCCCTTTAACTTAGGTTGTCTATCAGAAATATTTTCTGGTTTAAAATGCCATAACAACTATAAAATGATTTGGACAGTTAAGATTCCTTCTATTCCAATCATTCTGTGTTTTATTTACTACGCTGCCTGCTTTTCCTCCATTTCTGATTGCATCTCTCAGGAAATTCCTTTCAAGTATGCAGTATGCTGCTCTACAGACAAGGCATACCATGCTTATACTGCAAAAATTGGTCTACTAAATGGCAGCAAAAAGTTACAGAAATCTCTTTGCTGCCATCTTGTCATTGTCTGAATTTTGGCAGCCCAGATATAGTGTCTACTTCAGACATGCTAGCATTTTTGCTGTTTTACACTTTTATTCAGAATGTCCTTAATTATGAAGTGGTGATTAAGGCCTTGGCATTTTTGGGGTAAAAGGGAAAAACAGGGAGGAATTTAGAGTTACATCCCAAACCCTTGAGTACCCCTATATCACATTGGCAGAAGATAATCTTGGAAAAAGGAGAAAATGCAAGTATTGTGGACACAGCTTTCTCTTTAACACACAAATATGCAAACAGTTTGGAAACAAAGACAAGCAATACATATCAATACACACACACACACACACACAATGAATACTTGGATTTTTTTTTCCAGAGATATTTTCTTGAATTTTAAAGAGATGCAAAACATGGTTTGAACTTGGCATCTGCACTTGAAGGGGAAACAAGTATTAATCCATTTCTTACATGACCTGTTAAAGATTTAGCTAGCTCACTGGAGAGCTTCTGTACCAAATTTCAGAACATTGGAAAATATTTATAATTTATAATGACAAAAATACAATGATTTATTCCCTGAGGATGAAGCCTGGAAAAGAAGTTGCAAGCATATTTGTACATGGAACCTTTCTCTTGTG